TCTTGGTCATATTCGACGGGAACTTACCTCTTGTTAAGCCTTCGGACTAAACTCTTTGAACACCCGAGCTCTCGGCTGTGACCTCCGTGTGCGTGCGTGTGTTTCGATGCGTACGGGTGCTGCTCGCGTGACGGACTCCGCGCGATAATTACTAGGCGCGCGAGTGATAGAAGGCTAAAATGCTTTGCTGAAAAATTCTAAGTGTTGGGGAAAAATGCTCTCTATCTCTCGGCATTAAGGAGGAGAAATGAATAAATTTTCCCAAGGCTCCACTTAAAACCGAAAGATGTGGGGCGGAGGAAATGAGGGGGAGGTCAAAGCTCACTCATGCACTAAAAATTGTCTCGTTTCACGTGAGTTTGCCGAGGCTAAAAGACAAGATGCTCGGTCAAAATGTTCCCCTAACATGTGCGGAAAAACCAAGGCAAATGCACTAACACATAAGCACACAAAGGAACAAATGAGGCACGGATATTGCGGACAAAAGGGACAAAGTGCGCGCGGCAATTAAGGACTAATGGGATAGAAATGCATCAAGACTCGTGATTCTCTTGGACACTCCGCCCACTAGCTTTGGGCGCGGATTCTCTTGGCTACCACATAACAACAACACGCACGGCTACATGACAAGGAAGGGCGCGGACTCCCGAACACACGCACGAACACACCACGCGGCGAAACACATGAACTCGGACCGAATAATCTACACTTGCGCGCAACTCACACGGCACTCGCGTGAAAATGGACCGAGACGCTCGCACAAAAGAAATGGACCGAGTAATGCACGGCATTTTGCTCGGCTATGCGCATGAACTCGGAATAAAATCCGAACAATTACTAATCTCGTGATTAAGTTAAATTAATCACTTAATTATGTCTAATTATCCAATTAAACATAATGCTTAATTACCAAAATTATTTCGAACGTAAACGGTACGTCGAAAATTGTTCCGGTAATTTCGACTGAAATAACTGAAAATAATTAATTCCGATGAGCTCCCCTTTGCCGTTTGCCCAATGGGGGATGGATATAGTGGGGCCATTCCCGCAAGGCTCCGGACAGAGGAAATTCCTGCTGGTTCTGGTGGATTATTTTAGCAAATGGGTGGAGGCTGAGGCGATGGCTAGGATAACTGAGGAAAAGGTCATCAAGTTCTTGTTCACTAATGTTTGTTGCAGGTATGGCATCCCGCGGGTTATAGTTTCTGATAATGGTCCAAAATTCCTGGGAAAGAAGATCATGGCTTGGTGTGAGGAAATGGGCATAAAACAGCAGTTCGCATCGGTGGCACATCCTCAAGCAAATGGACAGGAAGAGGTAGCAAATCGAACTATCTTGAGGGGGTTGCAGACTCGGCTTGGTAGAGCTTCGGGTGCATGGGTCGACGAGCTTGATACGGTGCTTTGGTCTTATAGAACCACGCCAAGGTCCACAACTGGCGAAACACCTTTCAGCCTAGTATATGGTATGGAGGCTGTTATACCCGTGGAGATCGGCCTTGGTTCCCAGAGAACAACTACTTTTGAGCCACGACAAAATGAGGAATTAGTCAAAGAGGCTCTGGAGTTGGTCGATGAGGCGCGAGACCAGGCTTGGTTGAAGACCATGCACTATAAGCAGAAGATGTGCGCAACTCATGCTAAGAAAGTGAAGAAGAGGCAATTCCAAGTGGGCGATCTTGTCTGGAGGAGGGTTGACGTGTTGAGACATGTTGGGAAGTTAGAGCCAAACTGGGAGGGACCTTATTTCATTCATCGGGTATGTGCTGGAGGAGCTTACGAGCTAAAGGATCCTGAGGGTAAGGTCTTCCCTCGGCCTTGGAATGTTGCCAATTTAAAAAAGTATTATTGTTAGCTTATTTGTGTTTTTGCATTGCTTCGAACACATTGGTGATTTGGATATTTGAATAAATATTATCCTATGAGTTGTTTTTGAGGCGTTTCTTATCTTGTGCATAATAAGAACGTTTTGGTGAGGTTGCGCTACCTAAAGTTGTGTGATGGCTTAAGGCCGAACTCCTCTGAGTTCGGGTGCTGTTATAGTGTGTGATGGCTTAAGGCCGAACTCTTATAAGTTCGGGTGCTGTTACAATGTGTGATGGCTTAAGGTTGAACTCTTACGAGTTCGGGTGTTGTTATAGTGATCAATGGCTTAAGGCCGAACTCTTATAAGTTCGGGTGCTGTTATAATGTGTGATGGCTTAAGGCCGAACTCTTACGAGTTCGGGTGTTGTTATAGTGATCAATGGCTTAAGGCCGAACTCTTATGATTTCGGGTGCTATTACAATGTGTGATGGCTTAAGGCCGAACTTCTATGAGTTCGGGTGCTGTTATAGTGTGTGATGGCTTAAGGCCGAACTCTTATAAGTTCGGGTGCTGTTACAATGTGTGA